AGCACATTGAAAATGAAATGTTAATCAGCACTGCTACTCAGCAAGAGTTTCCACACCTGATCAAAGGTGTTAAGAGTAATTTTTTTCTTATTAAATGTTTAATTTTAATTTTAGGAGAGAAGAAAAACGTACTAGAGTTGTTTAAAGAACCTGATTCTTGTAATGTAAACAAATGGGTGAACCATTTATGACCTCTCTGAAGTGCTGAGTGGGAGCTAATTAAATACTTAAATTCTTTTGTTCTGACCAGCTACCATCAGTGCGGCTATTTATTCCTGTTCACATCTGTACCAGGGATACACACTGCAGTTGCATCCTGCTGCCTGATCTGCATTGCTGTATCTTTGGCGAAAATACCCAGCATATATCACGCAGGATGCAGAGAGGGATTGAACAATTCTAAAACTTGGATATCTATCCACAGCTTCTTTCTGAAAGGATATGGGGATAACCCAGAAAATCTCAAGCTTCCAGGTATAAGATCAGGGATTAAATAGAAAAAGAGATAAAAAAAAAAAAAAAGTCCTTTGAGGGGTAGAGTATTCTACACCTGCACAGGGGGGTTTCTCAGGAAAAACTAGGTCAGTTTGGGTTTTTCCTCAGCAACAGCTGGGAGTGGCCATTGTTGGAGACAGGACTGGAGAGTCAGCCTGAGCCGGCTGCAGGGCATCAGTGGTCCCACAGGCCCGTGCAGAGACACGGTCACCGCTCAGCGAAGCTCCAGATGCTCGACACTCACGCTGACTGCCCAGAAAAGAATTGTGTTACACGCTAATTACAGTGATTTATATGTCCTGGCACCCAAAAGTTGTCACAGCTTGGCCAAAGAACTTTTTTTTTTTCCCATAATGAAAAGAGCACATTCTTCCCAATTACTGGTAAAGCCATTGCTTCTAATAAGTACTTGCGTAGGAATGTCTTCTGCAGCTCTCAAAAATACCTTGTTTTTTCAAGTTATCTGCATTATGAGCGAGGAAGAGGACACAGAGAGACCACAGATGCAATTCTCAGCAGCGCTGAGCATTTACTTCCAACGAGTGAAGTACCTGAAGTACTCCTGGCCTCTGAAAGGTGCCTTCTGGCTGGTATCTGCCAAGGCTGCACAGGTATCGGTGATGGAGCTCGGGAATAAAAGTGAAGTTGTCAGCTTTCTGATCCGTTTCTGTAGGGCTCTGCCACGGCAAGATACTGTACTTGTACGTCTCGTCTTCCACAAGATGTCAAAGCTTGGGTCTCACAAATTTTCCTCAAGCAGGTAAGAGAAATACAGTACAGAGTGCATTCATGTTTGGAAATGAAATGCGAGTGCTTTAACCCTCCACTGCAGTACTACAGAACAGGAAAGGAACAACAGTATAGTCACCGAATCACAGAATCGTTAAGGTTGGAAAAGACCTCTGAGATCATCAAGTCCAACCATCAACCCAACACCACCATGCCCAGTAAACCATGTCCTGAAGTGCCACGTCCACACGTTTTTTGAACACTTCCAGTGGTGGTGACTCCACCATCTCCCTGGGCAGCCTGTTCCAATGCTTGACCACTCTCTCAGAAAATAGATTTTTCCTAATATCTAGTCAAGAAAAATCACAGCAAAAATTGTAGTTGTGTGGTTTAAAAAAGAATTGAGGTATTTATTATTACTAGTGTGTTTTCTTACAGAAACCAATCTTAACCATTTTCTCTCTCTTATCACTTCGGGTGTGATTGAATTTGTGTTATAAAAATTGCACCAAAAATAACTGGATTATATTACAGAGTGATGTACTATACTGTGTTCTCTACTCGTCCTAAATTTACTAAAAGACTCTTTAAACTGTAAAATTTTTGAAGCATTATGAAAATAGTTATGAAAGAATCGTGATTAAAAAAGAAAAAGAATTGCTGTATAAAGAATTTTTTCTCATGAGTGTTTTTGAGAGAGGGACAGCCTTAGTGACTGGAATTCCTGTGCTAAAAAAGTAATCTACAAAATATGCCAGGAATTGTGGCAATGACAAAAGTAGTGTAAAAAAAGTCACGAGGCACTGAAAGCCTGGAAATTCTGTTTTTGAAAGGAAGTGTGGTGGAAACCGGAGGAAGCTTTACAGGAAAGAGAGGTTGCTATCCTGATACCCTGTCCTGCCTGGAAGAAGAAATTTTCTCTAAGCAAACGCCCAGAGACCAGTACACAAAGGAACAAACAAACGAAGAAATGCTAGCAATAAAACCCTGGACTAGTTTTCACAGAGGCATGGAAATTTAAAGCAGGGAAAGCTTAATTTCTGTAGGCAGAGCTGCAGAGCGCGGCGTTACACTTCTTTGCTTCCATGTTAGTTCATTGGAGAGGCCTGTGACATCTGCCCTGCGTGCCCTGACCCTACTGGTGATGAATGGGTTCCATCTCTGGCGTGCGACACCGGCGTTTGTGATTCCTGCAGGTTAATTGATTTATCTTGGCAAAGCACGTTTCCAAGTCCTGCCGTCCGAGCAGCACGACTGACTGCAGAGGGAAAACAAGGCATCTTGAAGAAGAAATTCCCCCGTACCCAGCGAGTAACAGGTAGGACAGGAGGGAGGACTGGTCAGGCAGAAAGCCATCCTTGCCAACGGTGCGCAGCGCCAAGTGCAGATGGCCTGTCAGATAGGTGGGAGCTGGACGTCGGATCCGGAGTCCAGCATGGAGTTTTAAGCTACTAATAGCAAAATGGTCTGTTGTCTTTTCTCTCACAGGCATGCATGTAGCTAACAAACAAATCCTCCCCCATAAATTCTTCTGAAGAGACCGCTGAACCTGTCAGCGACGGCAGAGGGGACCCAGTCGAAGCACAGACGCCATCGCACGTGGCCGGGAGAGGAGCCTCACTCTGCAGTTAACAACCTTATTAAAGATACTGTCGTACTGTTCAGTAATGTGTCAAACCTGAAATAAGCTGCGCTCTCCAGGCATCTGACGGCAAGATGCCAGGGTATTTTTAACATGGGAGTGGGCATATCCCAGAAACAGTGCAGTAGGAGTCATTTGAGAGAAAATGCTTTGTTAGTCATTATTTATGACAACAGTTCTCCCTCTTGGCTGACAAAGTTTGCAACACGAAGGATCAGTAGCTGAATAATATAAAATTCATAAACAAAGGTGAATCAGACAGACCAGGAAAGGGAAGGATGCAGAAAGACAGAGTGCAACAAAACCAGGTCTGAACTCTAAATACATTTCTTCAAAACTGGCTGGGAAGCTGGTATGCTGTGGATGTGAACAGAGCACTACTGAATCTGCTCAGGCTACACAGCAACAGTCCAGAACAAACACTTTTATGCAGGAGAAAGCAGAGCTGTGGGATGTGATCTCCTTCCTACAGTAACACTGCTGCAAAGCTGGTGTTTTGGTGCACTGCAAAACAATCCCGTAAAACACACCAGTGCTGTCACCCAAGCAGAGTCAACCAGTGAGCGACCAGCCTCTGACCTGCAGTGCCTCCTGAGAAAGCCCTCTTCCACGAGAGCTCGGCTGGAGTGGCGATACTGGCTGGATACCACAGTGCACTGCCCGGTATAAAGGTCCAGGTGGGGTTAGACATGCTGATAAAGATGGGAGTGACTCAAAATTCACTACCTGAATACTGAAATCCTCCTTCACCACCTGAGATGCTGTCATGCCATGTTGGCAACACAGAGGGACACATCTCTCCACCATAATTACAAGTGTAACGAGTGCTCTCCCCTCTGAATACAGTGAAGACAAATGCTGAAGTTTTCCTAGGAGCAGGTGGGGGCCCTGAGCGAAGGCTAACGCTATGGCTGCGTGAGGAGGACTTCATCCGCTGCGTTCTATTACTACCCTATCACTAAACAAAACTTTTGCCTCCTTGCAGCAAAAAAAACCCACCCCACCCTGTGCACCTAGAAACTTATGTTCATCATGCCATGTCTCCAAGTGATCGCTACTTAGACTTGCATGTACAGTTTATGTGCACGATTACAGAAATAGGGCTGGAAGGCTGCCGGAGAGCAGTTCCCATCTTCCTGCCTCAAACCAAGCCAGGGGGGCCTTCAGAAACACACAACAGCTTCCGTATCTTCTCCAAATAATCTGCTGTAGCATTTACCTCTTTTTTTTTCTCTTAGGAAGTTCTTCCTAACATCTAATCTCCAATTTCACTTATTGTAATTTAAAGCCCTTATATGCAGATAACAAACCAGGCACACAACAGTCATGTCACATCTCCAAAGTCACACTGAAGTTCAACCGTGCGGGACTTAACCTCCTTACAGGATACATGATGAGGTCTTGTTTTTTCCACTATGTTTAAACACCTCATTATAGGGGGAATGTATATACCTAAAGGCAACAGGAGGCAGAAAACCTTTCCTTTTTCTGATTTTTGTGCATGTTAGTAAAAGGAAAGTGGAACGGCTCTTACAGGGCCGCAGCACCGCCTGTGGCATTGCTTCCAAATCTCTTGCACCCATCTGATATGACAGTACAAGCCAGAAAGTATCACCAAAATCATTCACACACTTATGTCAACCTCCAAACACCTTATTTTCCTCCTAGCTGTATCCTGTCTACTGACAGTGATATGCCAGGGCCCTTCCCTTTAAGGTACAGCAAGGTATACTCTGCTCTCTTTGTCTGCAGAATTACCATGGGCTGTTTACATGTCTGCGTTGTATTTTTTCACTCCACATATCTACGTCTGCATCATTAAATCCATACAAACCCCTGTGCAGCGAGGTTTACACAGGGAGAGCTCATTCATGCAACGTTCCCATTGACGTGGATGTCTGACGCAGCGCTGACGTTACAACAGCATGCCTATGTTGTTGTTCTTGAACCAATGCAAATGGCTCTCACAACCAAGCCGCAAGAGTACCTCCTCCTCCCAATGGCAGAAAGGCGAAGGCAACTTATAGTCAACACCAGACTAGTCACCTGCCCACATATTCAGCATGACATTATACATAGATACTCTTATTTTTTGACAATTATGAGAAAGAGACTAACCCCAGAAGTTTGTATGTCATGTGGAAGCGTCTTCTGAATTACTGTAGTTGCCAACCGTGAGGTGGTCCGAATCGGTTTCTTTACTGAAAAACAGTAGCTTTTTTTTTACAAGCTGCAATAAGGGACTGGGAAAGACTATCTTTAATACAGCGACCCTTGAGCATGTATGTCCCCGCATACACAGCTTGCTTCCTTCTTGCCTGATGTTCCTGTGTATTGGAGGTAGTGAGCAGGGCACAGGGGGCTGAGATAGGACTGTGCACTCAAAGTTGACCACCAAGCTCTGTAAAGTATCTCTTGCTCTTCATCTAGTAGTCCACTGGTTCCAACACACAGCAACCCCTCACCACAGATGGCCTGGGCTGTGGCATGCTCACGCAAGGGTAAAAGAGGCCTGTGATCTCAAATACTGTGCTCCCCTCCAGGCTGTATGGCCAACAACTGAAATCCACCAGAGCAGAAGCGTGGAAAGGATGCCCAGCCAGCATGACCCAAGCCCCTGTGCTTCGTGCAGCGTCATGCACTCTGCTGAGCTGGGGTTCTTAACACACAACCCGACATCCTTTACCTGGAAGGACCAAGGC